GTATAGCTTGTTGTACTCCTCCCTGAAATGTTTGGTAGTTATAAAAGTGAAAGGAGTGAAGTCTTCGTCGCTGATCAATCACTTTTTTGGAAGCGCCACGCATGGTACTTCCACAAATTCTAGTGGATTATTGAATGCGATGCGGCCTATACAGGGACTTGTGGGGTAAGCCGATGTAAAAGTCAGTTTTTCAATCCTCCCTGGCAAGTTTACTACCAATTTACTGTCTCCGGAGGGTAGAGCTGATCCGGTATTTGACTATCGGACCTTGCACGTGGTAAGCGTGCCACTTGCCACAACACCACCTCCACCCCAAGAAATTTGGATGCAAAATAATTAAAACTACTCACTTCTCGACGCTGTTGAACACCAACACCTGACCAGCCTTCAGCTCGATTTCAAAATCGAATGAACGTGTAGAGACATCAGATCGTGCGAAGTGAACTGATGCAACCTACAAGGAGCAAAGAGAGGAAACGTATTAACTTCACTGAACAACTGAGAATTTTGACAAAAACACTAACCTCTTCAAATCGAACATACATCGGTGGCTTGTGGATATAAAGGAAACCTTTCTCCAAAGGATAGAGGAATCCAGATGCTTGTTTATGTGCGCACATGACGGCTGGAGTACCAGAATGCCTACGAAGTAATAATCACTACTTCGTCAAATGCCGAATAATATGGGCAAACAATGAAACATTTGTTTTCACTTGCTAAGGTTAACAAAGCAGGAGAGTAAAAAAAAACAAAATCACACTCACCCGATGAAGTTTCCTGGAACAGTGATCTTCATATTTATCAAAACACGGAAGATTTTCGAAACAACCTCGTAAAGCGGACCAGAAAGTTCCTTCTCCAATTTCCCACCATACTGATCGTTAAGTTGCTGCCTCCAAAGGAAAGTGTTCAATGACTGATTCAAAAAAAACTACAAAAAAATACTTACTCTGTTAGTCCAAGTTCGAGGTCGATCTCGTCTTCTTTGAGAAACTCAAGTACGAGGTAATGGTAACGAGTTTGCCCTTGACGGATCGGTGGATTCAAGGAAATCTGAAAGCAATGATAAATTTTGTATTCTTTTTAGCATTGCTAGGAAAGGGAAGCTTACGAAAAGGAGTAATTAACAGTTAGAACATAGTACTTACAACAAAGTACACGTGTCTGCCATCTTTGTGAGGGAACAAGGAAAAGACGCATGATTGTCTTGATAGGAATCTTGTAATCGTAAGTTTTTCCATGAAGAGACAAGTGATTCGGAAACACTTTGATATCGTACCGTCCTCTAAAAATGAGTTATTTGTATGAGGACGTGAATGAAACGTGTGCACCCTTGTGAAGTTGGAGCACCTTCACCAGCCGTGGTGAAA